CTGATCAGTTTCAGCAGCGGCTGAATCAGGACGCCTGGGGCAGAGCAGCTGGGGTGCTGCAGAGTTGCTCTGCCTCGGGCTTCCTGGAATCAGCTGCTGATCAGTTTCAGCAGCAGCTTACTTGGGGACGCCTGGGGTTCTTAAGTTGAATCTGTATGTAAGTCGGAACTTGGTATCCAGATTCAGCTGCTGTTGAAACTGATCTGGATGCCAGTTCCGACTTACATACAGATTCAACTTAAGAACAAACCTACAGTCCCTATCTTGTACGTAACCCGGGGACTGCCTGTACTGTAAACACATAAGACACTGTCTATGCCTGGAACATGATTCCCTTATTTTTACAATATTTAAATGCCAGCAAAGCATTCTTTGATTGTATTTCTAATCTGTTTTCTTTAGCTACTGTCTGGCATACAGAAAGAAATGTAGAATGTAAATAAGAGAACACTAATCAAAGATGGCAGTAGCATGTGTGCGTGTTTGTTTTTTGGAGTGGTGATTAGTTCTTGATGCAAGAAAGCTGGGGAAGATCAGACTGCTACTATTTAACATAAATGTTAGATTTTTATATCCCACCAAGAGTGTGATGCATTTTTTTAGAAAAGCAAATAAGATATTTATGATCTCACCAGAAGTCTAACATTGCTAGATACGTGCATTTTAAAAAATTCTTCAATTGACTTATGAATCTTAAGTGTTTGTGTTTAATTTCATAGATTTTGCTAAACTAGAAAAGAATATAAGCATCCAGGTTCACTAGCTTTGGCTGACTGACCAGTGATAATTATCAGTGTTGTTCAAATTAGCAGGCACCAATTTGCCAAAGGCTCAGGATTTTTAAGGTTTTAGCTGTTTAAGCAGCATATTACATTCTAAAGAATTACAGCTAATGCACCTTCCAGCACTTAAGTTGCCAAAGACTGTCTGGAGCCTGTTTATGTACTGTATTGCTATGAATGTATATCAATAGCATACATGTGTGTACGTAAAGCTAACAGTGGTAAAGGAGCATGAGCTTTATAGTTGTTAGCATAGCTGTTTTTAACTGCATATGCCTCCAATGGTATTTTTGTAGGTACTTGTTACTAAATTCGGGGTTTTCAAAATGTAGCAAAGGCATGATTTCTCAGTTAGTAATAATTCCAAATTGAGTTTTAACTTCCAAAGTTCAAGTGTTTGTATCAATGAACAAATCATCTGGGATCATAAAAATTAGTTTTTTTCCCCTGTCCATCTCACTACTCAAATGACTAAATGCTATTTGCTCAGATTTTCCAGAAAAGTCACCTAGGGCTGAGACCAAATATCAAAACACTTCCGTTCAAAAGAGCACTTTGTTTCCCTCAAATCAGTTAACATATAAAAACAGTTACTCAATAGAAATAGTTTTGTAGCCTTAACTACAGCATCTGTCATTGGTGAGTACTACGCTTCTCTAGCAGTTTTTACTAAGGGATCTCAGAGCAGTTTAGTCTAAACAAATCTCACACTTTACTTTTGTTCATCCCTAGACAGTAGAAAGCAGCAGCTGTTTAACAGCATATGCCAACACTCTTAACAGTAAAGGCTAAGGTAATAAAGAAGATTATATCCAGCTAAAACTGCAGAAAAAAATTAGGGAGGCAGAATGGAAGCCGATAGAATCCTGACTAAAACTCCAGGGTTTTCTTACTCTACCTTTACTCGGATGAGAATTTTCTTAGCATCTCACTTGTCTGTAACTTTGATTAGGATATTTATTTGTTACATAATTGGAAAGAGTCCTCCAATAATACCTTGCTATCTGACACCGTCTGGGTCCAATTCGCTCAATACTGACAGAGGGACGAGTGATAGACTATTGATTAACCAACACTACTTCATACAGGTTATGTGTTCCTAGTAAAGATGTTAAGTAACCGTTAATTTACGAGTCAGGTAGTTGATGGAGCTGCTGGGGCTCTTGTATATTTCAAAGGAGGAATGCAGAACTCTGCCTGCAGCCCGGGGCCAGTGGGAAGTCCCACTGACCCAGGGCTCCATGCACGGTAGCCCCTCACAGCTGATCCTGGGATCAGCTATGCAGCATTGCCCCTTTGAGTGCCCCTTCTTCCTCCGCCCCCCTCCTTTGCTGATAGAGGCAGCAACGGGGGTGGGGGAGGAATTGACTAGTCCCTAACATCCCTAGTTCCTAATGGTGTCCCTTCCAAGTACCAACTTGCTTGAACCTTCTTAGCTTTTGATATCAGAGGGCATCACAGCTTGGCTCACACACAAGATATAAAAGTGTGTTTAAGAAATACATTTTACTTTACATGCGTGGTAAATGCTTTACATGTGTGGTAAATGTACAAAATGCTCTTTTATTTATTTATTTATTTATTTTTAAATCTCTGGAGAAATAATTTTTATAAAATTATCTGATATACCTGTTGTCTCCTGAAAAGAAATGTAGCTGCGTAGTCCATATCTGACACATGTTTTGTTACCATGTCATGTTGCCTTTATATTTGTATATTATATGCAGTTCTTACTCTGGGGGCATACTGCTTGACTGCACATCCACAGAAAACACTTCCCCCTCTTCCTCCTGGTGAATTCCTGTACTGCCCTACAGAAAATGACAGCGAAGCTGTGCGTTTCAGGCTGTGGGGGTGGGAATGACCATGGACTCAGTTTTGGGGGAGAATTTCATTGCCCTCTCCAAACAGAGGTGAGGCATAGGCGGGCACACAGTTATGTGACACTGAGTTCCCATGTGCATGTGCGCGTGCATGCACACACACACCCTTCCACATCAGTTTCTGTAAGAGTAGAGCTACTTAGCTGAAGGAGATTGTGTCTCTGCTCCATTGATTCTGCAACTGAACGCTGCCTTTTGTGTCCTAGTGCCAGTCAGGCTCCCCTTCTGTGTGCTGGGAGCCTTCCTGTTTTCTGTTCAACAGTGAATGCCTGCAGTGGGGTTCGATAAGGGGCTGTATTGGAAATGAGGGAAATGGGCTCCCCTGTAAAGCACACCCATCAAACCCTCATCCTGACATGCTTCATTCACCAATCCCCTTCACTGAGCCCCATCTTTCCACACCCAAACCCCCATTGATGAGCCCAAACCATCTTCACTTGGATCTCCTGTAGAGTTCCATTGCCCCTGTGCCTGGAATCCCCAAACAAGCCACTGTGCAACCAGATCTTGGAGTGAACCAGACACACTCAGATTGCCCCATGCTAAACCCCTCCATACCTGAATTCGGCTGAGTTAAGACAGCCTGTCCACACACACAGGTTGCACCTTGCTCAGAGAGGCAGGCCCCCTGATGTTCCTGGGGGGGGGGGCCCAGCTCTTGCACTGTCAGGGTCAGGTGCAGCTTCACTGCCAAGTTCTACTGAGGGAAGTGAGGTCTTCAGGTTGCTGTTCTAAAGTAGCCTCTGCTGCTAACTGTCATGCTGGAGCCTCATATGTTTATTGCCAAATAAAATTGGCAGAATTTTAAAATATAGTATACATTTCTTTTGGTGCAGAATTCCCTCAGGAGTAAGTTGTTTATCATGAATTTTTATGTAAGCTTTTTGGTTGGCTATTCCCAATCAAATTTGTTCTCTAAATTCCCGTGAAGAACAGGATTTTGGTAGCTATAAAAAAATTAAGGAAATAGTTTTTTGATAGTCTTATGACAATGTGATCACTTAATTATGTTCTTGTTCACAGTGCTGCCTATGGAAGTGCTAATGTACATTTTTCGATGGGTGGTTTCCAGTGATTTGGACATAAGGTCACTAGAGCAGCTATCTATGGTCTGTAGAGGATTTTACATTTGTGCCAGGTACAGTTGAAACTTTATCCATATTGTGAGAGATTTACCTTCTGCTCTTTTGGGTTGAGAACAAAGAGATTTTCTGTGCTGAACTAATAAAACAGATCTTAATCTTAGGCTTTAAACTGGTTACTAGTATGCAATTAGTAGACATTTAGGTAGAGAAAGTCACTGTGGGAATTGGAATTAGAAAATTCCTGGTGGCACTTACCTCCCATTGACATTTTCTTGAGAATACTGTTTAAATAAACGTGAACAGAGGCTGTATATTGAGCTATAAACAGTTAGAATTGCCAAAAACATAGTTTTGTGTATAATAACCCTGCATAGTGGTTCTATTCCTGTCTCTGTCATTAGCTTGATGATGACCTTTCCCACATTTTTTTGTTTCTTCATGCCTGCATCTGTAAAATGGGGATAATAATATTGACCACCTTTGTGAAGTGCTTTGAGATCTGCTGATGGGGTGGAGGCGAGGGGGGAATAGGGATGTTAAATTGTGGGTAATCAGCTAATCAAGTAGTTGATGGAATTTCCATCGACTACTCAATTAGTCAATAGGAGGGGAAAACTACAGAGCCTCAGCAGGGTTAGTGTCTAGCCTGGGAACTAACCCCATTGCAGCTCTGCCTTTTAAATGTATTAAGAGCTGCCAGGCTCTTAATATATCTTTAAAAGCAGAGGCACAATGGGGAGAGGGGGGTACCAGGCGTGAGCTGAGAATCAGCTGATTCCCAACTCGTGCCTGGTCCCCTGCTATGCCTCTCCTCACCCTCCTTACCCCCTGCTCCTGAGATGGTGCTGGGGGGAATTGGCTTTCCCATGCTGGTCTCCCCCCAGTATCAGCTCCTGCTCCCTCCCCTTGCTTCCTCTCTCTGATAGGCAGCAAGTGTGGGGGAAGCGACTAGTCCAGTAACTACTCAACTAGTCACTTACATCCCTGAGGGGGAGGGCGAAACTACATGAGAGGTTGATATAATTAACATTGGTATAGAATGACTTGTAAATTCATAGAGGAAAGCAGCCTGTGTTAAGAGTATGTATGTATTTATTTTAGGCTGCTAAATCCTTCTCTCTGTATTCATGAGTATTCTATGTTAAACTCTTGATAATACTAATCAAGTGCTTGAATAACTCTGATGATAGTGATGTAAACGTCTGGGTAACTAGAAGCTATTAGTCAAATATCAACTAATATGTTTTGGTGATATTTGAATGTTTACAAGCAAGAAGCACTCTTGCTCACAAAAGAGAGGGCATATTTTCAAATGGAGAGAAGTCCCAAAATAATAGTACAGTAATTCTTCACTTAACACGTGCCCGCTTAACACGTTTTTGCAATAGCACTCTATATATATATATATATTTAAAGGGAACATTTTTCAAACAACATGACCCCGTCCCCACAATAACACAATTTCTCCTAGGGCCGGCCTAGTGGCCGGCAGCTGCATGAGGCTTCCCCTGCCTCCCTGCAAAGCGGCAGAGGTTTGCCGCTTGCAGCACCGTTCCCCGGTGACTCTGTCTGGCCGGACACAAGGCATCTGGCCAGAGGGGGTCACCAGGGAACTGCATGGCGAGCGGCAAACCTCCGCCATTTTGTAAGGAGGCAGAAGAAGCCCCGCGCAATAGTGTGTGACTTTGATAACCATATAGACATCGCAGAGTATTGCTGGGTGAACTCACACAGTGTTCTGTGCTGTATTGTGACTGTATCATATGTTGTACCTTATGATGAGAAAATGGCTTTCTAGCTTCTCAATGATTCCAAGCTCTAAGTGGATTAATAATTTAGTAATTAAACAGTCTTAGAAAAGTGCTTTTGACTCTTTCAAGACCTCATCTACCACTATGTTTTTAAAGTTCCCCACTCGTCTTTTGAGACTTGATATTGGAGTTCTGCAAGATGCTGTAAAGCTGTGAGTTTTGCTTTCATATTTTCACCAGGGATCCTGAAATCTGGCGTCAAGCCTGTTTAAGGGTTTGGGGCAGAAGCTGTAATAAACTTGTTCCCTATACCTCCTGGAGGGAAATGTTTCTGGAAAGACCCCGTGTTCGATTTGATGGTAAGGGTTATTTTTGAAAACTGAGATGTCTTCATTGTTACTTTGCCCAACAAAACTTGCGTCATGTTTTATTTCTGGCTTTATCTACACAAAATTGAACAAAAAAAATGTGGTGTTCCTGATTGGTTACCCCCCTATCCCCCAATAACAAAAGTTTTGCCACAACAAGTACAAGTGTAAACATTGCTTTATTGGCAGGTGCACTCTCCTGTCGATAAAGCAAAAGCCACTCGAAGGGGCTGGAAGTATTTTATCAGCAAATGTGCTGACAAGCAACATTTACCTGTGCCGACTTTTAGTGATAGGGCTGTGTCAACATAGCCTTGTCGCTAAAAGCTGAGTTAGTCTCTGTCTAATTATATAGTGGCACAAATGTAAGTTTACATTTTTAGATATTTATTTTCTTGTTTGCTTCTTTTCTGTAGGTGTGTACATCAGCAAGACAACATACATACGCCAAGGAGAGCAGTCTCTTGATGGTTTCTATAGGGCATGGCACCAAGTGGAATATTACAGGTAGAATTGTAGTAATCTGAATGAGCTTATCTCGTTTCTTCTCTCCAAGTATTGTTCATTCAAATATAAATCTCAGTATTGCAAGCACTTGTCAACTTAGTGTGTAAAGTTACTTGACTGAAGGATTTCCAGGATCATGGTCATAAGGAATATTGTTAGATCTGGTCAATAGATGTAGGTTTATAAACTAATTTTCCTCCTCAGTTAAACCTTCTGCTCATGTCAGTAAAACTAGAGCTTTAAAGATATCACAGATTTCTCCCAGTCCCCAAATCATTCCTTCCTTTCTGTTCATCAAAATAGTGTTCAACAAAGAAAAATTGAGATTAAATAAGAATTGCTTTTAAATCTACTCAGGTAAGCTGCTTGTTGTAGTCTAGACTCCCTGTGTATGGTTGTTTCCCAAACCCAAAAGCAATGTTCCACTGTGGTCAGCACCTCTATGAATGCCACAAGAAATCTCATATCATACAAATGCTGCTCAGACTCCTTATTGTCACTTTGCAGCTTCAGGAATAACTTGACTGCCATGCATGATGTGCTAGTGAGACCTGTCGGCATTTTCGTCAATAGTTGGGAATCCATTCCTGCACACAGAGGAGGCAGAACACACAAGCCATTGAAAGATGGCACCAAATATGGACGGAAGTGTAAAGATTGCTGGAATGTGAAGTGATGCACTATGAAGTGTCAGACAGGGCCCAGGATGCCCCCCATCTCTCCCCACAAACCTCTGTGGCAGAAGAACAACAAGTGCTTGGAGTGATAGCTGCCCAGAAAGCGCCTTTCAGACCAGTGCAGCAAGTGCCGCGAGTGTGGTCATACTAATGCACTAGCATCTGACTATATGGACACCAAATAGTGTTTTGCTTCTGTGCTCCGTGAGCAGTGCTAAGGCCATGTGTATTCTGGCATATACAGTGTACAAAAATGGTTCAGCTTGCACCAACTGGTGGAGACAGTTGTGTGCATTCATTAAAGAGGCAAAGATTTCATCTCCTCACACCCCAATTTGTACAATTGAAAGTTGAGAAACACTTACAAGTTTTAAAAGTTTGAGGGAGTAGCTGTGTTAGTCTGAAACTGAAAAAACTTAACAAATAGTCTTGCTGCACCTTAGAGACTAACAAAAATGTAGATGATATCATAAGCTTTTATGGGCCCAACCCACTTCTGAATTCATCTGAAGGGGTGGGTTGTGCCCATGAAAGCTCATGATACCATCTACATCTTTTGTTAGTCTCTAAAGTGCTGCAAGACTATTTGTTGTTTAAGTTTTTCCAGATAAAGGATAAATAAGGGCTCCACTATTTCGAATTTATTTCAAAATAGCGGTTTGCCTGTGTGTAGACTCTATTAAAGTTAATTCGCAATAACTGCTGTTATTTTGAATTAACTTTGTAGTGTAGACATACCCCTAGAGAATGGGAAGTGACTGTGTTCAGGAAGGTATACTGCAGAAAGGGATCTAGGAGTCATAGTGGACCACAAGCTAAATATGAATCAGTGTGACACTATTGCAAAAAAAAAAAAAAAAAACTAACATGATTCTGGGATGCATTAACTGGAGTGTTGAGAGCAAGATACGAGAAGCCATTTGTCCATTTTACTCTGCAAGTCTACTCAGTTGGAGTATTGTGTCCTGTTCCGGGCACCACATTTCAAGAAAGATGCGGAGAAATTGGAGAAGATCCAGAGCAACAAAAATGATTAAAGGTCTAGAAAACATTACTTATGAGGGAAGACTGAAATAATTAAGCTTGTTTAGTTTAGAAAAGAGAGGACATGATAGCAGTTTTCAGGTATCTAAAAGGGTGTTACAAGGAGGAGGGAGAAAAATTGTTCTCCTTGTCCTCAGATGATTGCAGCAAGGGAGGTTTAGTTTGGACATTAGGAAAAACTTCCTGCTTGTCACGGTGGTTAAACGCTGGAATAAATTGCCTATGGAGGTTGTGGAATCTCTCACTGAGATATTTAAGAGCAGGTTGGATAGACCTAGATCAGGGGTCGGCAACCTGTGGCTCACAAGCCAAATATGGCTCACTAGGGAGCCAGATATGGCTCTTCTGGAGCCTCAGCTCAGCCTCTCTTTACTCCCCTCTGGAGCAGAGAGCCAGCACTGGTGCAGCCCCCAAAGACTAGAATGCCAGCACCTGCTTCCTGCGGGTGCAGGTGAACGGGAGAAAGTTCTGAGGTGAATGGGAGAAAGTTCTGCACTGGATCCAGCATACAGAGAACAAGCAGAGCTAAACATGGTTCAGTGCAAAAGCTCTTTCCTTCCCCCAGCATGGGGGAAACCCAGAACTAAAAATGAGTCCATATGCTGCCCATTTCCTTCTCTTGGAAACATTTCCTGGAGGCTTCCTCTGTGAATGGGAGCCATGGGATGCGTGTTACACCGTTTCTGCCACACGGTACGAAAACAAGTGCTTCCCCTCCCCTTCCCCCCCACCATCCCTCATTCTCAGCCTCCACTCCATCCCCTCACTCATCCTCCCCTCCAGACACCACATGTCCCCTGCCCGGACACCCCTTGCCACCTTTCCCTGGCTAGACAGCCCCTGCCCAGACACTCTGCCCCCACCAGACAGCGCCTGCCCCCTGGTCAGTTACTTTACCTCACACCTTCATCCCCTTCCATACCCCACCTCCCGCCCAGACCTTGCACTCCCATCCGTATCCCACTGTGTGGCATCCCGCACACTTACCCCTTCATTTTTGGCCCAGCCCAGTACTGAACAAGGCCTACAAAATCCACTAACCCTGGTACCCCAGAAGAGTAAATCTGGCCTGAAGTCTTGAACCTCAGTCATCCCTGCCCCTCCCCCTTTATAGTGCTGGAGCACTTGGGCAGTGAGGGGTTTCAGTTGGTCACATCAGTGAGGGTTCGGTTTGGTTTTTTTGTTTGTTTTTTTCTGTTAGTCAATGGCCAAAAAAGGTTCCCCATTCCTGCCATAAATAAATACAATGTTGAAACCTTTTGTATTGGACGTTATATTTTATTTAAAAATGAAGTCTGGCCAGTGAGCCCTCAATTGGGGCCCAGTACCCATCTGGCTGCAGCGCCATACCACTCTTGCACCCCCCACATGCCAACCCTGAGCCCATCAAACACCTGGACCCCACTGCCCTGAGTCCCTCATATTCTCACATCCCTAGACTCCTCTACCCTCACATGCTCAGTCCCCTGCCATAACACTTCTGTACCCCCATGTACCCCAACCGTGTGCCCTGAGTCCATCATACACCCTTGAACCCCTTGTACACTCCAGACTCCTGCCATAAGATTGACAGTGTCAAGACAGCCTGAATGTGTGCATGAAGGTGGATTTGACCAGTTATGTAAACTTCAAAGAAATGTACAAAAAGATGCAGCAGCAGAAGTCCATTAAAGAAAGTCTGAGAGTACAGTGTTTTCATTTATGCTATTATTAATCATTGTCAGTAGTAGCACGAACAGACTCCACCAGCTAGTAGAATAGAGGGAGTGATTGCTTCTCCAGGATACAGCACAGATGTAATCTGGTTACAGGGCAGGCCTAGGATGTCTCAGCCCCCCTTGAGATGGGGGAGAATGGGGCCCTAAATCCCAGCCCCTTGCTTAGGCTGTTTCCTCCATGATTCCAGACAAACTAAAACCCTCTTCCAGCCCGGCCCCCCAGCAAGGTGTTGGTCTCCACCCTCCTTCCTTTCTCTCCCTCCCTGGGAGGCTGAGCCTGGGTGTCTGAGTTAATACACATTTGGGAGAGTCAATGAGAATCTCCCATCACAGCACAGGGGAACCCCGGGTCACAGAGCAGACAGCACCCCCACTTCGCCATACCTGCCATAAGGGTGGGACTTGATTCTATGACTTACAGAATATCAAAATAAAAGAAATTTAATTTAAATGAAAATCCAAATATTTGTATTTTAGGATATGTCTACACTTGCACCCTCTTTCGAGAGAGGGATGCAAATGAAGACATTCGAAATTGCAAATGAAGCCCGGGATTTAAATATCCCGGGCTTCATTTGCAGGGCTCGACAAATAATGCAATCTACTTGCCCGTGGCGAGTAGATTGCAACCTGGAGGAGCCGGGTTCGGGTGATCTGCACATGCGCAGATCGCCAGACAGCGTGGCTGGGGAGCGGGGCTCGCCGCGGTTTGGCGAGCTCTGTTCATTTGCATAATCACGTTATGGCGTTATTTCACAATAATAGACGCTGTTAAGACACGGTTATTCTCTCGAAATAACTGGTAAACCTCATTGTATGAAGAGTAAGCGTTATTTTTTGAGAGAAGGGTTTTCTCTCGAGATAACCGCATCTGTTATTTCGAAATAGTGCCATAATGCGATTATGCAAATTAAGCTGGGATTTAAATATCCCACGCTTCATTTGCAATTTCGAATGTCTTCATTTGCATCCCTCTCTCGGAAGAGGGTGCAGAGTAAGTGTAAACTTACCCTTACTTTTTATGTGTTTAGGAAATGCTGAATAGTCATAATGATTTTGTTCCCCTGTATAGTAATATAAATAAATTACCAAAATAAGTGAAACTGGTATGATATTGCATTATTTTGACAAATAAAAATGCAGAATTTTGGATATTTTGGCACAAAATTCCTTTTGGAGTATTCCGGTACAGAAGTATTATTAACTCATATTAATCTGAAGACATCTGTTTAAGTGCTAATTACACTTCTCTCTGTTGACGCTGAGTAGAAAGAAGATTCCCAAAGTTTATATGAGGTTCTTCTTGGCTTCTGGTCATTAGCTCTTTTCCTGTATTCCTACTCTGAACAAAAGTTCTCGGCTTCTGTGCTCTTGCATAATTCTACACAGTTTGGTCCCAAACCAGGTCTTTTGGTTTCTGATGAGCTGTTTCTATGCTTTTGAAAATGTGGAAGTCTGTATTCAAATGCCAAGAATGTAGCATTGTAGGTGCTAACCTGTGTGACTGCCATGAGAAAACATAAAGGCTGTGTCTAGACTGCACCCCTTTTCCGGAAAAGGGATGCAGATTAGCCACATCGCAATTGCAAATGAAGCGGGGATTTAAATCTTCCCCGCTTCATTTGCATAAACATGGCTGCCGCTTTTTTCCGGCTTGGGGCTTTGCCGGAGAAAAGCGCCAGTCTAGATGGGGATCATTCGGAAAATAAAGCCTTTTCCGAAAGATCCCTTATTCCTGATTTATATAATTGTATTTCAGATACCTGCGATTCTTTCCAGATGGTCAAGTAATGATGCTAACAACTCCTGAAGATCCCCAATCTATTGTTCCTCGTTTACGGACTAAAAATACAAGGTATGTTGAAATTGTCCATTTGTCTGCATCACCCCTTCCCTTACAGAAAAGGGACACTTTTCACTCATGTTAGCATCTATATTTAGGATTAGTAAAAAAATTAATATAATTTATTATTTCCATTGTGGCATAGATATTCGTCACCAGGGCTCACCAGCCGCATGGAAGTGTACGCTGCGCATGCGCAGACCGTGCTGCGCGGCCGTGCAGGGCTAAAATCTACTTGCCACGGGCAAGTAGATTGCCTAATTTGTCGAGCCCTGTTATCACCAATAACAGGGCTGATGCTTTACAAAACAAAGAACTGTTCCCTGGCTCAAAAACTTATATCCTTAAAACACATGCACAAGTCAGTAATGAAAGGAAAAATAGAACTTACTAGCCAGTCTTAACACTTATGTGTTTTTATAACATAGTAAAGCTACTAGTAGAATCATAGAACCATAGAGCTACAAGAGACTCCTGCTCTAGGCAGGACCAATCCCAACTAAATCAACCCGGCCAGGGCTTTGTCAAGCCGAGACTTAAACACCTCTAGGGATGGAGACTCCACTACTTCCCTAGGTAACCCATTCCAGTGCTTCACCATCCTCCTAATAAAACAGTTTTTCCTAATATCCAACCTGGACCTCTCTCACCGCAACTTGAGACCATTGTTCCTTGTTCTGCCATAGGCTGTTCACAGTAGTGGCCGTTCTCCATCCACTTTGGAACCTCCCTTTAGGAAGTTGAAAACTGCTATCAAATCCCCCCTCACTCTTCTCTTCTGCAGACTAAATAGGCCCAACTCCCTCAGCCTCTCCTCGTAGGTCATATGCACCAGCCCCTTAATCATTTTTTTTGCCCTCCGCTGGACCCTCTCCAATTTGTCCACATCCTTCCTATAATTGGGGGCCCAGAACTGGACACAATACTCCAGATGTGGCCTCACCAGAGCCGAATAAAGAGGAATAATCACATCTCTGGATCTACTGGCAATAATCCTCTTAATGCAACCTAATATGCCATTAGCCTTCTTGGCTACAGGGGCACACTGTTGACTCATATCCAGCTGTAATCCCCAGGTCCTTTTCTGCAGAACTGCTACTTAGCCAATCAGTACCCAGCCTGTAACGATGCTTGGGATTCTTCCGTCCCAAGTGCAGGCCTGTATACTTGTCCTTGTTGAACCTTAGATTTCTTTTGGCCCAGTCCTCTAATCTGTCCAGGTCACTCTGGACCCTATCCCTGCCCTCCACCATATCTACCTCTCCCCCTAGCTTAGTGTCATTCGTAAACTTACTGAGGGTGCAATCCATCCCCTCATCTAGGCCATTAATAAAGATGTTGAACAAAACCAGTCTCAGAACTGAACCTTCAGGCACTCCGGTACAAACCGACCGCCATCCTGACATCGAGCCGTTGATCACTACCCGCTGGGCCTGACCTTCCAGCCAGCTTTCTATCCATCTTACCATCCATTTATCCAATCCACATTCCCTTTACTTGCTGGCAAGAATATTGTGGGAGACCGTATCAAAAGGCTTGCCAAAGTCAAGGTACATCATATCCACAGAGCCAGTTACCTCATCATAGAAGCTAATCAGATTAGTCAGGCATGACCTGACGTTCATGAATCCATACTGACTATTCCTGATCACTTTCCCCTCTTCCAAGTGCTTCAAAATGGATTCCTTGAGGATCCCCTCCATGACTTTTCCATGGACTTAGGTAAGACTGACCAGCCTATAGTTCACTGGATCGGCCTTCTTCCCTTTCTTAAAGATGGGTACTACATTTGCCTTTTTCCAATCATCTGGGATCTCTCTCGATCTCCACAACTTTTCAAAGATAATGGCCAAAGGCTCCGCAATGACATTTGCCAACTCTCTCAGTAGCCTCAGATGTATTAAGTCCAGACCCATGGATTTATGTACATTTAGCTTTTTTTAAATAGTTCCTAACCTGTTTTTCCCCACCAAGGGCTGTCGACCTCCTTCCCATACTGCGTCACTTAGCACATTAGTCTGGGAGCTGACCTTGTCTGTGAAGACAGAGGCAAAGATAGAATTAAGTACTTCAGCTTTCCCCACATCATCTGTCACTAGGTTACTGCCCTCATCCAGTAAGGTCCCCACACCCTCTCTGATCACCTTCTTCCTGCTAACATGCTTGTAGAAACCTTCCTTGTTATCCTTCACATACCTTGCGAGTTGCAATTCCAATTGCGCTTTTGCCTTCCTGATAACTCCCTTGCATTCCCTTACATTTATACCACTCCCTAGTCATCTGTCCAAGTTTCCACTTTTTGTAAGCTCCCTTTTTGTGCTTAAGTTCACCAAAGATTTCCCCGGTAAGCCAGTCTGGTCTCCTACTATATTTGCTTCTCTTGCTACGCATTGGAATGGTTTCTTTCTGTGTCTTCAATAAGGCTTCTTTAAAATACTGCTTGCTCTAAAAGGTAGATGGCTCAGTCCCTCTTAGGAGGGATTCCCTGACCACTACCACCCACCTTCTTGTTTTGGGGGTGGTGGTCATGGAACCCCCATTCCTAGGACTATGCATTCCATGCCTTCTGGTAGGATTGGTTCCCTTCCGATGTCTTCCTTGTAAGGTCCCTTCCAAAGCATTCACCATCACAGAGCCTGTAGATAGATTACTTACCTCTGTAGGAATGGGGGATTCCTGTGCAGGCCTTTTTTTTCCCCTTCTAGTAGTTACATGCTACCAGTTCTCTCCCTCTTCCTGTACTGCCCTCTCTGGCTCTTCCTCCTGCCTTGTTTGCAGGATTTAACTCTGCCTTCTATTGAGGAAGTCTTCATCCTGTTGGATCGAACAGAGGATTGACACCTGGGTCTCCAGTCCTCTTAATTTTTTTCCTCCAAAATGGCAACCAGCTTGTACTTAATGCAGATGAAATCCCTTCTTTCTTCCGGGAGGAAGACAAACATGGCACATGCTGTGCAGGTAACAAAAGCAAAGCTATCACCATCCATATCTGCTGTCCTAAAAAAGGGTTTAAAGGAAAGGCAATAGTACCTCTCCTGCTTCCGTCTCCCCTTCCAAACTCCCTGTTTGCAGTCACCTGTTCGCAAGCACCTGTTTGCTGACTCACTCCTTTCTAAAGCCCTGGACTCCCTGATAGTCTCTCCCCCTACCAAGGCTCAGCCAATCAGCAGAGGCTTCTAGATTTCAAGCTTTAATTAGAAGCTAACAGTTTCCAGCTGCCAGTCACAGCACACACTCCGTTTGGGGGAGGAGGGCAGGGAAAGGGGGTGGGGGACTCACCACACTCACTCACTCACAAGCACAAACTCAGCACACAGCAAGAAAACCCCAAACACAACACACACTGCAGACAGCCACTTCCCTCGAGTCCTGTAGTCACTTCTCCCTTACCTGGAGAACTCCCTCTCTAAACGCCGTGTTTTAACCATACATACTTAAGACCATCCCTTTTAACTTTCCAGAACTGATGCAATCTTGCTTGGCCATTATCGCCTCTCCCAGGATACGGACAATCAAACCAAAGTATTTGCTGTATTAATGAAGAAGAAGGAAGAGGTAGGTACCAAAATAAAGTACAGAGAAATGAGAAAACAAGAGGGTCAATAAAGTGGGATTATGTTAAGGCTTTCACACAGTTGTGTTCTTAAAATGCGCATGAAGATGTGAGCTGTACCAGAGACTAGCGATGTTATGTCAAATATTTTACAAGGGCTCTTTGTGGTAATTTAATAACTTATTTGTCTCTGTCCAAAAATATATTAACTTTCTGAAGCAAGAAAGCAATCTGTCTGCATCAGCATACTGTGTCAAGCCTATTTGTTTGCTGTAAGATGATTTTATTCACACTTAGACACCATTTCTCTCCTAATAAGCCCTCTTCCAACAATTCCCCAAGCTTGGTTGCTACACAAGGCCTGTATTAATTTGTAACAGCCTTGCTAAATTTAAAAAGATGTGTATACCTAGTTCACAAGATTGTGGCATGAGAATTAAGCCAGAGGAAGAAGGAAAAAGGTGGGAAGAGCAACGAAGACCTTTTTCAGACACCACCTTTCATCTGTATGGAACTTATTTCTGAAGCAATTCAATAAATGAATCTAAATAAAAACCAGCCAAGAGTTTAATGGGGAGTAACTATAACTTTCAACAACAGGTGTTGCACAAAAAAAGAAATAAGTATAGTAAGTAGCATCCAAATAATTACAAGTGCTATGGTGTTGAACATCCAACTTAGTCTAGCTTGGTATAAGTTAAGCACTTTTTCAAGTAACATTACTACTTAATTCTAGCATTTTCTATGTATGAGACATTTTAGAATGTATAGTAAATAAGGAGGTGGTAAAACGAGGTTTAAACCAATGACGTAAACATAAAATAATTATGGTCTTGTTTTGACATTTTCTTAGCATGCTCTTCATTCTAAGAACTTAAAGGATCATAATGTTTTGGCAATGTAAAATATGTGAAGGTATCCTATGTATGAAGGCATGGAGTTTTTCTCTTTAACCCCTTATTTAAAGTATTATAGTAGTAGTAATAATACCAGAGTAGTGCTGTATATTCTTTTTATGTTTCTAAACTTCGTGTTTGTTGTACAGAAACCAATTGACTACCACAAATACCGGTATTTCCGCCGTGTTCCTATACAAGAAACAGAACACAGTTTTCATGTAGGTCTACAGCTGTGTTCCAGTGGCCGCCAGAGATTCAACAAGCTTGTTTGGATCCATCATTCTTGTCACATAACTTATAAGTAAGTTAATATGCTTGGAACAAGAGCAAGGAAAAATGTTTGTTAATGTGGCAGGAACCCTAATCTAATCTAATAACCCTAAGCCTAATCTGTTTAATGGTAAAGTGTGATAAGAGTTTTTTGGTTTAACAAATGACTTGAATATAAATAAATAATGGTCTTGGTTTGGCATTTTGTTAGTATAGCTTTCATTCTAAGAACTTAAAAGATCACTACTTTTTGGCAATGTAAAACTATCTGAAATATGAAGGCATGGAGTTTTTGCAGTGTATTAAAATTTGTGACTAGTATTTGATCTATTGTACCTGGCAATCTTCAGCAGAAATATTTTTGTTCCCATTGGAGATGTTTTTCAAAACTGCTTTCTAGAACAACTTCTCTTTTTACCTATGGGCTTGTGAAGTGTGAAATGTAGGGAACACTGCAAGGAGCCTCTGCAAGGATACTTTCCAGCTCCCGGTCTGCTGTGGAGTAATGTGCCCTATTACTATGTCTGTGAGAGATAAGGGCAGACTCCATTTGCATACCCACTAATTCAGACCTTTGAGTTGTGGGGGCACAGAGGGCTGTGGTCATTATTCTTACCTATTAATTACAGCAGCAGCAGTCATAGAAGGGCTACTCAG